TGCTGAATCTCTCCAACAGTCCTTTGGGGTAGGGACTATATTGGTCCTGTTTTACTGAAAAGTACAAATAACCAGCCTAAAGTCCCACAGCTGGAATCTGCAAAGCCAGGTCTAAACCCAGAGCTCCAGGCTGGGGAGGGATATAGTCCAAATCAAGAGACAGGAAGGTCTCAAAAGGGTGTCCTGGGGACACTGAAGGCATATTTAGGAAGCTCCTTACTGGTAACCCTGCACTGCCTGCCTGGTGTCTTGCAACTGCCATACATACACAAAGCACCAAGAACAGATGCTGACTCAGTAGCTGAGCCTCTCTTCCCATTCATCCCTCAAGACACAAGTCCCCCCCCGACCCTACCCCACCACGTTCCCCAGCCCAGGTCGGAGACTCACTGGGGATATAGAGGTCAGGGGCGTTGAGGTCTTGCCGAGGGGGCAGAGGAACATCGCGACTGTACTGCACTTCCCAGTTCTGGCAGTGGCAGCAGTGGCCACATCAGGAGGGGAAGAAGAGAAAAGAGGAGAGAAGGGGGTTGAGGTCTGGGCGCCAGACTCCGGCACAATGAGGAAGGCCCACCAGCTCCCTTGATAGGAAGCTCACCTGGTGTGTGTAGGGGAAGACCAGCAGCCCTAGCTTCTTGGCTACGTAGGCTGTGTCCACAGCAAAAAAATACTTGAGTTTGTTCACAGACACAAAACGGTGCAGCTGGGAGGGGAGAAAGGAGGCTGTGGGCAAGCCGCACCCCACGAATGCCCCTCCGTGTTCTCCATCCCTGAGGACACTGTGAGGAATCGGGTGGAATCCCATGATGTCCCAGCCCTCGCCAAAAATTCTGCCACCCGTGCCCTGGGGGCAGGCCACACCTCCTTGTGCACCATGTCCTTCCCATGGGATGCGATGGAGCTGCCATAGGCCATAGCCACATTGGCCATTGGGTCCCCAAGCAAGTGGTTGACACTGAAGGCCACATCTGCTCCTGGGGCTGGATATCCCCCGGGCTGGCTGGAATAACCACCGCTTGTGTCATCGAAGAGGGGAGGGGGATCCGGGGCTGCCCGGGCCCTGTGCTTGGAACCTGTGGGTTTGGAGGTATCAGAGTAGATGACAGAAATACCAAGCATGAGCCCAAGCCACCGCCCCTTCCCTGGCTGGACAGCCCTGCACGGGTCCTGCAGGCACGGATCAGTGAGGAGACCCCAAGCTGGGTGAGGGGGAGCTAACTGAGAAAAAACTTTGATGAGGGATCCTTTGCGAGAAATCCGTTGCTAAATGTAGGCAAAGGAAGAGCTGAGGCAGCGCCTAGAAGCGGTTGCCCACTTGGGGTTTCTGAAGGCCTCTCGTTGGAAGTGACCTCTGAACTGAGCCATAGTGAGTAGAAGTTGCAGATAACTGGGAGGGCAGTTAACTGGGAGGGCATCCTTGTGTGAACAAACCGGGGAGAAGCGACAGCTGGCTACCCGGAGGCCCTGGACAGTGCTCAGGGACCTCACCAGGCTCACAAGAGTGAAAGGAGTTTCTGGAGGCGGACCCCGTTTTTCCCCGACTCCGCCATGGGACTCCCAGCTGTGCTACCACCGCCCGGTCTCACGACTGGGCCGAGAGAGCGAAGTCCGGGACGCGTTGCAGTGTTGCGAGGGGCAGGAACCCGAGTGACACCCCCGCCCTGGGCAGCGGTCCCAGTCGCTATCTCCCTCGGGGTGAGCGGGCCGCGCCGCCGACTCTCCCCCCGCCGGCCGCGCCGCGCCCCGCCAGCGCCCCACGCACCGTGGGCTCCGTAGCCCGAGTGATAAGCCATGGCCGCGACGCTCTCTCTCCCCGAGGGCCCGCTGCGCCGCCTCGTGGGTACGAATACTAATAAGGCAGCTGCTCCGCGCCCAAAGTACAGACCGAGGCCACCCGGCCGCGCGACACGTCCCCCACCCCGCCGGTCTCGGCCACCATGTCCGCGGCGTCATCCCCCACGCCTGCCATTGGCTCTTCGGCGTCGCCGGCTCGCCCCACCCCTCTCCCAATTGGCCACTGACTGGCTCTAGCCTGAGCGGATTCGGCAGAAGGCAACATCCGGGTGAGGGACAGGAGGAGCAACTTGTGGTGCCTAGGATTGGATCACTGGCTTGCCAGTTCACGGTGGGAACAGCCAATAGAAGAGTTAAGGAAGAAGGTGGGCGAGAATTATTCGCGCGCCTGCGCGGTGAGGCACTTGACGCAACCTGCCACGACTGCACCAGGGAGACTAGAGGAGACCTGCGGCCGGAGTCATGAACGAAGCTTCCTTGGTGGGACGTACTCCAGGCAGGAGGGAATGGAGCGGTCGAGCGCCAACCAAGCCCTGGCCTTCGGGGCGCCTGTTCCTCCCTCTCTGGGCTTGTTTTCCTCCCCCGTCACCTGCACTTCACCCAGTCCTGGAACGGAGCCCCAGCAGCCCCGGAGGTGGTGGTGGGAGGCCGCCACTGTCAGTGACTGAGCGGCCAATCAAGCCCCAGGATGCTGACTCCTCCTCCCGCCTCCCACTCCTCTTCTCCGCGCGGGTGCTGTCCGTCGTCTGGTGCTGAAAATGCCCTCCCGCCTCTGCCGCCATCCTGTAGACTCCCGGGGGCCTGCGGATGGGAAGATTTGGGGTCTCGAACCACCCGCTTCTAGCGAGCGCGTGGCCGCACGCACACATACACGCATACTGCAAAACTGGGGCCCAGAGGATCCGAAGTCCCAGAGATTGGGTGGTATAGATGGGGCAGGATCCTGCCCAGGGCCTGTCCCATAGACTCTCCCGTAGTCCAGCAGATCTGGGGGCAGAGGTGTGCTGATCTGCGTCCTGAAGCTGCAGCCGAAACTCCTGAGTCATCGCCGGGCCTGTGGTCTTCTCGAAGTGAGGCCCCCAAGCCTCACTTGTAGTCCCAGAGGTTCCTTTCTCTCCACCCAGGTTCTGATCACTTCCACCCCCATGGAGACAGTCTTCAGGAGCCTCCCTCTCACAGACCTTCAGCCACCGCTTTCTAGAGAGGACGACCTCTCTAATTAGCTACCAGGTGTCCACTTACACCAGATGACCTTCCTGCTCCCCAAACTCAGCCCACGTGGTCTGATTGCCCAGAGGTCCCCTCTACCTCGGATGCCCTTCCCCCTCATATCCACTTGTCCATAAGCCTAGTTATCTTTAAGAGTCAGTTCAGCTTGTGCCTCTCAGAGAGACAAAGGGAACAGAGACCTGACCTGGTCAGGGGTGGAGGTCATAGGCTGGGTTCTAGGCCCCCTCTGGGTGCACCCAATTTGCCCTGCATGTAAGTTCCATGAGGACAGGCCCTGTTGTCATTCTCCACTTCCACCCTTGCCTTCCCAGTGCCAAGCACAATACTTGCATATAGAAGACACCCAGTAAACATCTGTGTCCAACAAATATATAATAAATAGATAAAACCCTGGACCAGTCCTTTCCTCTGTCTACATCTCAGTTACCTAATCTTTAAGTGGGTAAGGATGTTTAATTGAATGGTCTTTGAGTTGCTCTTTGCCTGAACACACACACATACAAAATGAATTAACCCACCAGTATTGCAGCTTATTTTCTGCCCAGATTGTCTAGTTTTCCAGCAAAGCCAGACCCAGACACAGATGTGAAGATCTGAGGCCCTGGAGGGCCAGGAAGTAGCACTGGGGCCAAGTGTACCTGGGAGGGGTCATCTAATGCAAGCCAGTTCCCATGTCCCTGCAGGGCACGATGGATGCTTGTGAACTGAATCCAAAGCCTTTCTATGTATTTTCTTCCTTCCTTCCTTCCTTCTTTCCTTCCTTCCTTCCTTCTTTCTCCCTCCTCTCCTCCTCCTCCTCCTTCTCCTCCTCCTGCTCTCTTCTTTCTCCTCCTCCTCCTCTCCTCCTCCTCCTCCTCTGCCACCGACACCGCCTTCTTCTTCTTCCTCCTCCTCCTTCTTCTTTTTCTTCTTCTTCTTCTTCTTCTTCTTCTTCTTCTTCTTCTTCTTCTTCTTCTTCTTCTTCAAGACAGGGTCTTACTTTGTCACACAGGCTGAAGCACAGGGCATGAGAGATGCTTGTAAACTGAATCCAAAACCTTTCTATGTCTGTCTTTCTTTTCTTTCTTTCTTTCTTTCTTTCTTTCTTTCTTTCTTTTTCTTTCTTTCTTTCTTTCCTTCCTTCCTTCTCTTTCTTTTCTCTCTCTCTCTGTCTTCTTCTTCTTCACAGGGTCTCACTTTGTCACACAGGCTGGAGCACAGTGGTGCAAACACAGCTTACTGCAGCCTCTAACTCCCAGACTCAATTGATCCTCCTGTCTTAGCCTCCCGAGTAGCTGGGAATACAGGTGTGCACCACACCATCATGCCCAGCTCATTTTAAAATTTTTTGTATAGGCAGGGTTTCGCCATGTTTCCAAGGCTGCTGGAATTCCTGGGCTCCAGTGATCCTCCCACCTCGGTCTCCCAAAGTGCTGGGATTACAGGCATGAGCCACTCAGTCCGGCCTCTATCCCCATTTCTCAGATGGGAAAACTGAGGTTGGGAGCGGAGCATGCTGGCCCAAGGTCACGCAGCCTAGGGTCCCTGGTGTCCTTGCCCCAGCCTGCCTGTCCTAAGCTGAGTCCAGCACCCCTGCCCAGCCAGTGAAACTCATCACGCTTTTCTCAGCTGTAACTACCCTCTTCTCCAAGTGAGGCTTCAGGGATGGGATCTGGGTGGGCTTAACTCTGGGCCTACTCCTTAGAGATGGGACCCCGCGAGCGCCCACCCACCTTGGAGATTCTTCTTCCTCATTTTACAGCCCGGGAAGCTCAGGCGCCAGAGGGTTAGACCAGCTCAAGGTCGCGAGCGCGAGCGCGGCCAGAGGAGAATCCAGGGGTCCAGCCGCCCAGCGGGGGCTTCTTGGGGGCGGGCGGAGCGCCTGCCGTGCCAGGCGCTGCCGGCGGCGCCGCTGGTGCCGCGGGGGCGGGGTCAGCGGAGGGCGGGGCGCCGGGCACCCGGGCCGCCAACGCCGCCAACGCCTCCGCCGCCGCCGCCGCCGCCGTCGCCGCTGCCGCTGCCGCTGCCGCTGCCGCTGCGCTCAGGCTCGAGCTCCGCGCACTCCCTCCGCGGCCGCTGAGCCGAGCGGACGCCCCTGGGGGCCGCGCCGCAGCCCTCCGTGCTCCGCCCTATCATGCCCGGTGCCCGGGCTGGGGCCGCCCAAGCAGCCAGGACACCATGCCCGAGGACGGCGCTGGCGACGGCGGGGAGGTCCCCGCGCTCATCCCGGACGGCGAGCCGCTGCGGGAAGAGGTACCGGCGCTGGGGTCCGGAGCCGGGCCTGGGGCGGCGTGAAAGGGACCAGTGCAGAAGGCGACCCCAAGAGAGGGGCTGAGGAGGGAAGTCCCAGAGCCCCTACGGCCAATGACGTCATTGGGGTCACCTGCCGCCCTGCCGGGGGTCCAGGGGCCCTCGTTGGGGGTAGGGGTGGGGCGGCTGGACAGCAATATGGGGGGGGACTTCCGCCCCCGGCGCCCCGCATCCAGCCTTGCCCGTCCTGTGACGTCAGCGCCTGGCCCCCACGCCTCCCACTGCCGCAGCCCAGCGGGGGATGCTGCTTCCACCGCCAGGGCCGCGGGGTCAGGTCCCCAGCCCAGCCCGGCCGCTCACGAGGTGTCCGGGCAGTGCCTGCAATGCAGCAGCAGTCGCAGAGCCTAGAGGGGAGGAGGGGAAGAGGAAGGGAGGTGCCTGGGTACCCCTTCTCCTTGTCCTCGAGGTGAGGATTGAGGGCCCATTCTGATGACTGGGACCCCAGATGGCCCCTCCTCAGCCCTAGCCAGTAAGGTCTGCAGGACCTAGGGCCCCGAGTGATGTGTGGGGTGATAGGGTGGTGAGTGGAGCTGTGTGTGCATTTGGGTGAATGTAGCCTGCTTGTGTGTGTGTGTTGTGTGGGTGTGTGAATTGGGGGTGTGTGTACCCTGTAGTCAGGTGAGGGGTGAGTGGGTGCCTGGCTCGGGTTGTCACTCAGTGGTCTAGGTGTGTGCATGTGAGCGAGTCCCGTTGTGGGTGGGTCTCTCCCTGTGGGGTCTGAGGAGCCAAGGTGTCAGGTTGCATTGGGGGTGGGGAGATGTGCACTGTGGTCAGGTGAAGGTCTGGTATGTCTCTGGGCTTCACTGCATGTGGAACGTGTATGTGCATGTGTGTGTCCTGTGGTGGATGGGTCTGTGGTGCGTGTGTGTGTGCTATGTGTGTGTACCATGCTATGGTTGTGGGAGTCTGTGCTCTGGGGACAGGTGAGGGTCTGGAGTTTCCTGGTGACAGGCAGTGTGGCCCTCCATGGTAGGTGGGTCTGTGATGAGCATGTGTTGGAGGGGCGTGGACAAGTGTGTGTGTACCTGACAGGCTTTGCAGGTCAGGTGGCGCTGTGTTCCTGTGCTGTGTGACGGGGCCAGGCTGTATCTGGGCTGGGCTGGGGGATGGTTCCTCTCCTCTTGGGCCTCTAGAGGCCTGGTAGGTCTGGGGTAGGAGAGGTGACCCCTTAACCCCTCTTTTGTTGTTTCTACCTTTTCCACCCCTTTTTACCCTTCCGCTCTCCCCACTGTATACCTACCTGCTTCTCTCTCCATGGGCACCTGGGGGTGAGGTAGCTAGGCTGGCAGCCCTGCCAGGGAGGGTGTGGCAAGCCCTCTGAGCCAGGGAGTGGCCCCTGCTGCCCAGCAGCTGTGTCCCACCCCCTCGCTCAGCACAGATGAGTGGAGGATGGCCCTCCATCTGCTCCCCACCCCAAGACTCGCACCTCCCCCGTTCTAGATGCTCCCGTTGACTCAAAAGCCTCTGCTGAGTCTTCTAAGTCCCTGTGGAACAAGGGACCAGAGGGAGTCTCAGGGTAATGGTGACCATATTTATTCCCATGGCCAGACACTGTGCTCAGATCTTCACACGTATGATCTTGTTGAATCCTCACAACAGACTCAGTTTACAGATGAGGAAATTAAGGTCCAGAGAGGATGAGGGACGTGCCCAAGTCATACAGTAAGTGCTGGAGCCAGCACTGGCTCCTGGGCAGTGAAACTCCAAAGCCCATGCTGTTTACACCTCGGACCCCTTCCCCCTGCTTCCCAGACCAACAGGACCAAGAATCAAGGCCCAGAGAGGGCAAAGATATAGCCAAGTCCACACAGCAAATCAGGGCAGAGCAAGGGCTAGAACTCATTTTCTCAATAGCCAGTCCAAGGATCCACCCCTTCTGGCAGAGGCGGGCCTGCTGTGTCCTGTGTACAGTTGGCCCAGTGCTAGCAGGGCACAGTGGAGGATGGATTTGGGGCAGCGAGTCCTGGGTTTGAATCTGCAGCGCCACTGTGAGTGAGCTGGAAATGTGAAGCCTGGAGCAAGCTACTCATCCCTCTGAGCCTCAGTTTCCTCCTCTGTAAAATGGGGCTCACGGAATCACCTCCCTCAGCTGGGTTAAGCAAAGTGGCAGGCCCCACTGATGGCCCCACCTGACACAGACTTCCCTTTCTCTGCCCACCTGCAGCAACGGCCCCTGAAACAATCCCTGGGAAGCTCCCTGTGCCGCGAGTCGCACTGGAAGTGCCTGCTCCTCACGCTGCTCATCCACGCCTGCGGGGCCGTGGTGGCCTGGTGTCGCCTGGCCACAGTGCCTCGGCTGGTCCTGGGGCCCGAGGCTGCCTTGGCCCGGGGAGCCGGTGGCCCGCCACCCACCTACCCGGCCAGCCCCTGCTCCGATGGCTACCTGTACATCCCGCTGGCCTTCGTCTCCCTGCTCTACCTCCTCTACTTGGCCGAGTGCTGGCACTGTCACGTGCGGTCCTGCCAGGCGCCACGCACCGACGCCCACACGGTGCTGGCGCTGATCCGCCGGCTGCAGCAGGCGCCGCCGTGCGTCTGGTGGAAGGCCACCAGCTACCACTACGTGCGGCGCACCCGCCAGATCACACGCTACCGCAACGGCGACGCCTACACCACCACGCAGGTGTACCATGAGCGCGCCGACAGCCGCACGGCCCGCGGCGAGTTTGACTACTCGGCTCACGGCGTCCGCGACGTCTCCAAGGAGCTGGTGGGGCTGGCGGAGCACGCGGCCACGCGGCTGCGCTTCACCAAGTGCTTCAGCTTCGGCAGCGCGGAGGCCGAGGCCTCGTACCTCACGCAGCGGGCGCGCTTCTTCAGCGCCAACGAGGGCCTGGACGACTACCTGGAGGCGCGCGAGGGCATGCACCTGAAGGACGTGGACTTCCGCGAGTCGCTCATGGTCTTCGCCGACCCCCGCAGCCCGCCCTGGTACGCTCGCGCCTGGGTCTTCTGGCTTGTGTCGGCGGCCACGCTGTCGTGGCCCCTGCGCGTCGTGGCCGCCTATGGAACGGCCCACGTGCACTACCAGGTGGAGAAGCTCTTCGGCGCCAGCTCGCCCCCGCCCGGGGCCGTGCCCAGCGGGCCCCCGCTGTCCCGCGTGGCCACAGTGGACTTCACTGAGCTCGAGTGGCACATCTGCTCCAACAGGCAGTTGGTGCCCAGCTACTCGGAGGCCGTGGTCATGGGCGCAGGCTCGGGCGCCTACCTCAGAGGCTGCCAGCGCTGCCGTCGCTCCGTCAGCAGCAACTCGCTGCCCCCCGCCCGGCCCAGCGGGCCCCGTCTGCCCTTTAGCCGCAGCCGCCTCTCACTGGGCGCTGGGGGCCGGGCCACGCCAGGGGTCTTCCGCAGCCTGAGCGGGGGGCCCCTGGGGCGCCGTGGAGAGGACACAGAACCCCTGGAGAGCCCGCCCTGCTATGAGGACGCCCTCTACTTCCCGGTGCTCATTGTCCACGGAGACAGCGGCTGCCAGGGGGATGGGCAGGGTGCGCTCTGATACCCCCACAGCCCCCAGAGTAGCCCCCTCCCCACCATTCCACCATGGGCTTAGATGCCCCGGTGATCGTCGTCCAAAACAGGCGGGAAAACAGACCAGCCACACACAAGGGGCAGGGGTGAGGGTGGGGGTGGGGGTCCTCAAACAGACTAAAATGCAGTGACCCGTGGTCATTTTGGAGGAAACGGAGGCCACCTAAGTGGAGCCTAAGAATCGCCCCCAGCATGGCTTCACCCCCCAAGATGGCCAATGATCTGGCCTGGAGGCCTCTCACAAAGGGCAGGAGAAGAAGCTTCCAGAAAGGCTGGGATGGAGAAAGAGTCCTGCGGCCAGCTGTTGCCTGCAGCAGAGGCTGCCTGTGGACACTTCCCTGCCGGGGCTGAGGCCATGCTGGGAGCTTCCCAGCGATGCAGAAGCACAAATTGGCGGGCTGGGGCCATGCCCAGCCAGGTTGGCTTCCCTGGGGCTGAAGAGCTGGCTGTGGTGGCACCATGGCCTTGGCCCTGCTACTCACCCAACATTCCCATCCTCCCCTGATAGGCCCCTCCTTGCCTGCCCTTTCGCCCGCTGCTCAGGGCCAGTCACTGATTGGATCTAGCAGTGCTGTTCCTCCACTGGGAGCCTGGTTCTTGGAGTACAGCCTTGCCCCATGCACCTGTACTGTTTTGCCTGGTGTCCACCGCACCCTCCTCCCACATTCAGCTACCCGTACAACCTGGGGTTCCTTCTCAGGGCCTCACCTGGTCCTCACATCCCCTGGCCTCTGCTCCTGCCTCCCAAAGTCCATGTCTGCCTCCATCAGTCACACACACCCAGGGACGCCCTCTCCTTGCCCTCCGGGACTTATCTACTCTTCACTTTCCTGATGATCCGTGGGGCCCAGACCTAGAGGGCATCCGAGGGGCCCGGCCTCGCCCGCAGCCTCTTGGATGAAGTCCTTGCTCCACCATGCAGGCCCTTGCTTCTCCCATCAATGAGTCCTGGCCCAGGGGACACTGACCCTCCCCCAGGGAGGAGAGAGGAGTTCCTTCCCTTTCAACGAAGGCTTCCACACCCTCTCAAGGGTGGTGGGGAAGGGAGGAGGCTGAGAAGATGCAGATTAAATAAAGGTATGGAATGGAAGGCCTGTGCATTCCTGGGTCTTGGGTCCGAGGCCACCGCTGCAAGCATTATGGGCCTCCGTGGTTCAGGGCATGATGAGGGGTTCTGGGAAGGGACTCAGAGATGGGCTTCAGTGTTCCCAGGAACAAAGTAAGCGGAGGAGAGGAAACCTCCCCTGCCTAGCCTGGGGCCTCTGAGACTCAAGTGTGAGTCGTTCTGAGCACCTGGCTCCCCTGAATCTGGTATCTGGGCCTGGGTCACTGCTAAGGCATTGTCAAGGTGGCCCTTCTTCCAGCTCAGTGGGGGATTCCATTCTGTTGCTGGGCATGCTGAGGGCTAAGAGAGTGGTGGCTTGTCCCCAAAGTGAGGAGAAAGAGCTATGGTCTGTGACTGGAGTTCGGTGCCCCCCAGCAACTACTGACATTATCAATCTGAGGGAAAGGGCACGAAGCAGGTTGAAGGACACAAAGCTGGAAAGGACAGCCCCAAACCAGGGCAGGCTGGCATGGAATCCAAAGGCAGAGAAAACATCAGGGAAAAGGAAGGTCCTGACTCCCTGATGGAGCTCTGAAAGACTCCTGGACATGGCATTGTCACACGTGCAGCAGTAAAGGGTGTTCACTGTGCAAGGGCAGGGGGCTAAGGGGCAAGCATGCATGGAATCCAGCCTACAGGCCACTCCCCAAACTCTGGCATGGAGCTACATCCACTTGGAGAAAGGGGACCCTTTTCCTATTCACGCAAAGGTGGCATAACAGCTAATGGTGACCCTGGAAGGGTGCGGAGAATGGGTGGATTTCCCTAAACAAAGACAGGGCAGGCAGTGTCTTAGACAGCGGATGCTGCCCAGACAAAGGCCTGGCTGCCGGGCATGAGCTGAGGTGTGACGAGGAGATAGAAGCAAGAAAGCATGGAAGGCTTTGCTGTAGCTTCCATGCCAAACCCTAGAATTTGTCCGTACACTGGAGCAAACTGGGCAATCTGCAACCATGGAAGGGGGATGGGCAGGGACGTGATACAGTCAAGGCTGCATTTTAGGATATTTAGCAAAAGTCCAGCTACCTGCTGGCTCTGTGGGGAGGGTGGAGTGAAAGACCAGAGCTCTCCCTGTGTGTTAACCGACAGCCTCTCTTCTTTGGGAGTGAAATCAACTCCTCATTCAGAAGCAAATTAGGTGGAAAACTCTATGGTGCCCAAACATTCAAGAAGGCTACAGTGGGTGGCCGGGCACAGTGACTCATGCCTGTAATCCCAGCATTTTGGGAGGCTGGGGCAGGCAGATCATTTGAGGTCAGCAGTTCAAGACCAGCCTGGCCAACATGGTGAGACCTCCCTGTCTCTACAAAAAATACAAAAATTAGCTGGGCACGGTGGCAGGGACCTGTGACAGCTACTCAGGAGGCTGAGGCAGGAGAATCGCTTGAACCCAAAAGGCAGAGGTTGCAGTGAGCTGAAATTGTGCCACTACACTCCACCTGAGACTCTGTCTCAAATAAATAAATAAATAAATAAATAAATAAAAAGGCTCCAGTGGGTAGGGAGGCCAGCATGCTGGTTCCAGCTCCTTGCCATGAGAAAGACCCTTTTTCCACCATTCTGCTCTAACACCATAGCCAACAACTGCCCACTGCCCACTATCCATTGTCCTCCCTTCCCCAATGACAGGACCCCAGTTTTGCTGCAGATGGCAATGTGCCCAGCTAAAAGGCAATATTTCCAGCCTCCCTGGCATATATGGTATGACTGGCTGAATTATAGGATATTAGATATAAACAGAAGGTGCTGGAAGGGATCTTCCAAGAATGCCCCTTGAATAGAAGCAGTATTGGTGAAGGCCATTTTTGTCCTCTCTGCTTCAGCCTTCATTCAGCCTGGGATGCGTATGTGATAGCTGGAATGCCAGCAGCTATCTTGGAGCAGGAAGTGACCTTGAAAATTGTAGCCACGTGCTGAAGATAGCAGAGCAACAAGGTAAAAGATCCTGGGCTTTTGATGACACCATGCAAGTTTCCATGTCATCCCTTGGGTTGCCTACCTCTAGACTTCAATGAGAAAGAGAAATAAACTGTAAGTCTGCTTAAGCCCACTGTTTTTTCTTGTCTGTTACCAGCAGCTTTTACTAATTATCTACTGCCACATAACAAATTATCCTAATCCTAGTGGCTTAAAAAAGCAATAATTATGATGCTCTCTCCTGGCTTCTGTGGGTCAAGAACTCAGATAGGACACAATGGGGATGGCTTCTCTGCTCCATGACATCCAGGGCCTCTGCTGGAAGACTCACACTGGGGCTGGAATCATCTGAATGCTCATTCACTCACATGTCTGGCAGCTGATGCTGGCTGAGGGCTGAGGGCTGAGAGCCTAACTAGGGCTGTTGGTGGGAACACTCACACAGGGCACCTCCACGTGGCTTGACCTTCCTCATAACATGGTGGCTAGGTTCCAAGAACAAGTGTACTGAGAGGGTGAAAGCTGTATTTCCCTTTATGATCTAGTCTCTGAAGTCACATGGCATCACTTCTGCCCCTTTCCATCAGTCAAGGCTATTGTGAAGGTCCACCCAGTTTCAAGGGGAGGGAATATAGGATCTCATCTCTCTGTGGAGGCTTGTCAATGTCACATTGTTAGAATAGCATGTGGGACGGGAGATGTATTAGTGGCTATCTTCAAAAATGCAATCGACCGCTGAGCCAAATGCCATTTGCCATTCCTAACTGATTGATACCCGTAAAGTGATCTGCAAAATGAACACCAAGCTCTTTATAGTGCTGTTTTAAGAGAGGAAGGTGGTGGCATGTCAGATATGGGCCTTCCCAGGGCAGAGTGAGCTGCTCAGATCATTTATGGAGGCCTTCAGGCCTACAGTAGATTAAATATGGCCACAAATTCTTTACCACTCCTCTCTTCAAAAGGTAGAATCAGGCTGGGCGCAGTGGCTCACACCTGTAATTCCAGCACTTTGGGAGGCCGAGGCAGGTGGACCACTTAAGGTCAGGAGTTCAAGACCAGCCTGGCCAGCATGGTGAAACCCCGTCTTTACTAAAAATACAAAAATTAGCCGGGCATGGTGGTGTGCACCTGTAGTTCCAGCTACCCAGGAAGCTGAGACAGACGAATCACTTGAACCCACGAGGCAGAGGTTGCAGTGAGCTGAGATCATACCACTGCACTCCAGGCTAGGCAACAGAGCAAGGCTCTGTCTCACCAAAAAAAAAAAAAAAAGGAAAAGAAAAGGAAAAACAGAGGTGGAATCTGTTTCTCCTTTAAATCTGGGCTGGACTTGTGATTTGTTGTGACCGATGGGATGTGAGGGAAGAGATGTTGGCCCACTTCTGAGGCTAGGCCTGAAAGACTCTTGTAGCTTTCACCTTTGCCCTCTTGCAATCGTGAGACCACCATCTATAAAGATGCCCAGCCAAGCCTCCTGACAGATTTGAGGCTACGTGGAGAACTGAGGACCCCAGCCAAGAGCCAGAATCAGCTCCAGATATGGGATGACCGAGGCCATCTTAGACACTGTAGGCCCAGTTGAGCCATAGATGACAGGAGCCTCAGGAGTGACCCAAGATGAGACCAGCAGATGAACTACCAAGCTGATCCCAGCCCAGACTGTTGTCCTATAGAATGAGGGGAAATAAATCTTTGTTTAATTCACTACATTTTGGAGTGATTTGTTACATGCAATAGATCACTGTCACAAGGCTCTAAACCCAGCTGCACTTCACGAGGGAGGGCACTGGGCCTGCACAGCCAGGAAGAGGAGGGACCCAGAAACCCCAGTGTTTGATGGACAACTCTCAGCTCACGATCTCCTGATGGGAGACGGGGTGGTCACGTGTTCAGACTCTCTTGGAGTCAACACCAAGCCAGGGTGTTCTGTTCTAGACTGTTCTCAAGAGGAGAATTCATGCCTGAGGAGTGGTGCAAAGTCTGGCTCCCAAACCCCAGCTGCCTCTGCCTCTGCTCTCTCCTGACATGGGCTACCCACAGCATGGCAGGAACAGAACCTGTAATTTCTACCCCCACCCCCACCTGCTCCTCTCTGTCTTCCATCTTAGAAAATAGAGCTACCATTCAGTCACATTCAGTCAGTTGCCTAAGCCAGGCACCTGCACAGCAAGCCTCTTCATTTTTTTTTTTTTTTTTTTTTTGAGACGGAGTCTAGCTCTGTCGCCCAGGATGGAGTGCAGTGACCAATCTCGGCTCACTGCAAGCTCCGCCTCCCGGGTTCATGTTCACGCCATTCTCCTGCCTCAGCTTCCCGAATAGCCATGCTTGGCTAATTTTTTGTATTTTTAGTAGAGACAGGTTTTCACCGTGATAGCCAGGATGGTCTCGATCTCCTGACCTCGTGATCTACCCGCCTCAGCCTCCCAAACTGCTGGGATTTTAGGCATGAGCCACCACGCCTGGCCGCCTCTTCCTTTTTTTTTTTTTCCTTTTTTTGAGACGGAGTCTCGCTGTCACCCAGGCTGGAGTGCAGTGGTGCAGTCTCAGCTCACTGCAACCTCCGCCTCCCAGGTTCAAGCTATTCTCCTGCCTCAGCCTCCTGAGTGGCTGAGATTACAGGCGCCTGCCATCACGCCCTGCTAATTTTTGTATTTTCAGTAGAGATGAGGTTTTACCATGTTGGTCAGGCTGGCCTCGAACTCCTGACCTCAAGTGATCCACATGCCTCAGCCTCCCGAAGTGCTGGGATTACAGGCGTGAGCCACCGCATCTGGCCAGGTGTGGGCATTTTCTGATTAGAGACTTGGCTATCACATATGGACTGGCTTTGTTGTAGGAGGTAAAGATCACAGGATCTGCCTGGGTTCAAACCTCCATTTACTAGTTGGTCAACTAGGGCAGATGGCTTAATGCACTTAGGCATGTGCCTTCAGCTTCCTACTCTGTAAATTGTGGTAAGAATGGCACTTACTTCATGTTGGTTGTTATGAATCTTATATGGATTAAGCCAAGTAAAGCCCTTAGAAAAGGACGGGGCATGTAAGAAGTGCTTCCAGGCCAGGCATGGTGGCTCACGCCTGTAATCCCAGCACTTCAGGAGGCCAAGGCAGGTGGATCACCTGAGGCAAAGAGTTCGAAAGCAGCCTGACCAACATGGTGAAACCCTGTCTCTATTAAAAATACAAAAATTAGCCGGGCATGGTTGTGGGTGCCTGTAATCCCAGCAACTTGGGAGGCTAAGGCAGGAGAATCGCTTGAACTCGGCAGGCGGAGGTTGCAGTGAGCCGAGATCGTGCTATTGCACTCCAGCCTGGGCAACAAGAGAGAAACTCCGTCTCAAAAAAAAAAAAAAAAAAAAAAAAAAAAAAAACCAGCCGGGCGTGGTGGCTCAAGCCTGTAATCCCAGCACTTTGGGAGGCCGAGGCGGGCGGATCACAAGGTCAGGAAATCGAGACCACAGTGAAACCCCGTCTCTACTAAAAATACAAAAAATTAGCCGGGCGCGGTGGCGGGCGCCTGTAGTCCTAGCTACTCAGGAGGCTGAGGCAGGAGAATGGCGTGAACCCAGGAGGCGGAGCTTGCAGTGAGCCGAGATCGCGCCACTGCACTCCAGCCTGGGCAACAGCGTGAGACTCCGTCTCAAAAAAAAAAAAAAAAAAAAAAAAACAGAAGTGCTTCAAGCATTCACTGTTATTATAGTCATTATTAGCACTAAATCCTACTTCCATTTGTAGTGGCCAGGGTACGAGCATTGGAACGTGGTCTGGAAAGAATCCCTCTCCCCAGGCCTGATTTGCCCAGAGGTGGGCAAGGGCAAGTTTGGCAGCGAAGGCAGGAAGCAAAGGGCCCAGCTGGAGCTCAGTGGTGTCAGCTCCCTTCCTCCTCAAGCGTTGCTCCCTGTCTGTCGCCCTAATGTTCGAAAAATATTTTACTGGTTCCCAGCCCGGAACTTCAGCGTCTCCTGCCCTCCAGGCTGGTATTTTCACATGTAGAGATGAGAGCTGAGATAGCGTCTCGCTTGAGATACTGTCTCTAAAAACTAGGATCTTCAGCTCCTAATTGAGGGCTTCCCCCTCCAAACCCACCCCTTCGCAACACACCCCCCAAAGAAGGTGTCTAGCCTTTGGAGCACTAGGTGGCGGCGGGGGGAACCTGGCCCTAGGTCGCCAGGTGAGAAGCGATGCTTTCGCCCCTGAGAACAGGATTTGTTGGGGAGGGACAGCGAGAGTTTGACCAGCCAGTCACTTTAGAGACTGTCAGGGGAGCTCAGCTCTGGGGTGGTTCGAGGGCCAGTGCGAAGCTCCCTTAGGGACGAATTTCCACATATGACGAAGGGCATCTGCGAAAGGATGGGCTGTCCCGCGGGGGGAGTCGGCAGATATTTAAGTAACACTAACATTTAATGAATTAAGCAGCTATTTATTGAGCGATTAGTACGCTTTGAGAGAGGGGCCCTACCGAGGCCTTGCGGTGGCTGTAAGTCCGCGGGGCCGAGGCCAGGTGGCGCCAAAGGCCTTTCGACGCCATCCGCGCGGCTGTCGAGGCCCAGTCTCCGGGCTCGCCCAGAGAACCCGAAATCTGGACAAACGGAAACCGTAGGTGGAGGGAGAAGGCTCCAGGGCCAAGTTCAAGGGCATCCTGGTGAGAGATGGGGGTTCGGAGGACTGGTGAATCTGGGCATACCCCGAAGGTGGTAAGGGACCCAGGCGCGGAGTGGGCGGGGCTTGCGCCCAAGAGGGTGGAGCCTGAGTGTGGGTGGGACCTGCGATAAGAGGCTCGGTAGCGCTCTTCGCAGGGTGGTATTTGTGCGCTAGGCCACAGCCGGGACGCTCTGTGTGGGCGGGACTCGAGGGCCTCCCTCAGGGGCGTGGCTTGTAGCTTTCGTGGGCGGCCCCGGGGGCGTGGCTCCGTGTAGGTGAACCGCTGCCTCCGGGCGAGGTGTGACAGTCCTGCGGGGGCGCAGTTCTTCCACTTTTGTGAGCTTGAGGGGGGCGGGGCTTGTAGCTGGGGGCGGAGCCTGAGGAAGAGGTTGAGGGGAACTTCACACGTTCCCTGGAGGGCGGAGTTTACATCGTCCCCCAACAGAGTTAAGACCTCTGGGGGATTCCCTGCAGTGTCCAGGGCTCTG